CGAGTGGGGGGGGGGAAGAGAAAACTTGTACTTTCATGTTTTGGCATATGCCTCCCCTGTTCAGTTAATTTTTAAATGAATGTGATATATGTGTATTTTTTAATTGTGTTCAGACACAGTAGTAATTTAGTAATGTAGTACATATAAATATATAGGCATGACCTTGCAGCCAGCTGTAGTAGGCTTGACCACACACACACACGCACGATATTTCCAACTCTGACTCACATGATGATCTGTATGAATATTGTTATGGCATGGAAGTTGGTGTACATTTTTCTCTGCTACTAGCCCTCCAAAGAGATTATGAGACTTTTATATATACAAGAATTTTATGGGGAAAATGGTACAAATAAATAATTGTTGCTCTTAGGGCCACAATGTTTTTTCAGAAAATTTAATATTGAGAATGGAGTTGAGGTATATTTACCTGAAATATTGAAGAAATCTTTTTAGTATTATTACCATCTGAACAAATCCATTGAGTCTCAGTCATGACAAATTATTCTATCTTTTCTTTTCTCTTCTGCTGTTTTATATTCTCTTCTGTTCTGGTCTGTTCCAATCCATTCTGTTATATTCTATTCTACTCTGTTTTACTTTATTCTGTTCTATTCTAGTGTATTCTATCCTGTTATTCTTTTGTTCTATTCCATCCTGTTCCAGCTATACACATCTGAAGAAATAAGAATGAGCTTAAAATCGTGTTCATAGTTCGGAGTGTGTGGGTATTTTCAACATCCAGTGTGATTTATTTGCAATGTACAAGGTTTATTTTTATGATATTTAATTTATGGTCTTCAAGGTAAATACATGCATCTTAGAGCACCAAGTATTAGTTTACATATAGTTTATGCGAACAAAATGTCTTTCAGAAATGCAGATAGGTAATGTGGCATATAATTCATAAGAAATGATTGTATAGTTTACACACATGCACATATATATATAAAATCAAATGACTTTGCTTATATAAAAATGAAGTGCTAATATTTCTCAGCATGGAAATATGTAGCCTCATCAGTTTTTTATGTGATCATGCCCTATTAAATTGCACCCCCACTGCTCTGTTTGTCCAATCCATGCCACTCATTGCTCACTGCTAAATCTATTTAAAGGCTTCCAAGATCCTGACAAAGACATTAACCCTTAAGATGATAACTGCAGTGTTTGCTGAAATGGTAGAAACCCTTCAAAATTCCATACACCTAATCCCTGAATGTCATAGTTATGCATTTCATTTTTCATTGTATGCTGTGTCTTAGCTTCCTTTCAGTTTTTCACATGCATAAAACCATATGTTGAAGTATTCTGTGTTGCTTTATGTCATACCTGTAACTATTTTGTCTTATGTTGAACTTTAATTTGTAGATGTTGACATCCTTGGAAGTAAAGCACTTGTTTCTTACCTTGTGTTATATATTTGTGTTAGTCTTTGTTTCTGTCCAGTGCCACAAGCATTTTGTATTTCCTGCCAGTAATCAGTGTCGTTTCCTATGTGGGTAAGTACACAGTTTTCTCAACGGGGCTTGCTTATGATAAGCTTTTACCATAAGCAAGCCATTCCATTGTAAAGTGATTGATATGATTGAAACAGACTATATCCCTCATTATAATAGGGGCACAGTAATTATATGTTATTTTGTTCATTGCCAAGGTTCAAAATTACCATGTTTGATTTATTGATTCATAGGTTGTCTAAAGCACTGTTTAAACTGCAGTGTCAAAAAAGCACAAATGAGGTAGGCTGGAGGTCATGAATTGCAAGTAAGAATTTGTCAGGATGCAGATATGACCTGTTTCAAGGTACTGTCCTGCAATTCGCCTGGAGTGAGGAGGAAAATTATATAATGCCTTGAGATATCCAATGACCTGGCCAAGACTTGAACCTTGAGTTGCATCATCTGAAGAATTATTATGTGCATGAATATATATCTCAAATATGGCTTAAAAACTAATTTTCATTGTGCTTATAATACTTCATACCATACTGGCTTGTGTCATTTTTCACAAGAATTAAAATAATTCAGAATTAAAAAACATCGGTTGTTGAAATATTTGGTACCATCCATGGTTCCAGTCATGCATATGAAGATTTTAAAAAATAGTAATTTTACTGACACAACAAGAGTTCAGAGAAAATAACATAAAACAACTTTGCATAACTTTCATACTAAATTTTTAAACTAATTCCAAACACCACCATGCTACAAAGGAATGATTCTAATCTAAATTTCACTGATATTTCATATCATGGGTTAAATACCTGGCATTATGTTACAAAAGGCCCTTGTTTCTTCTTTGTGGTCCTATCCAGTTTCAGTATATAAAGTACAATGGATATTTATATACAATTTTCAGTTTATACTGCATGTAGTGTTCTTTGTAGATTTAAGTAAATGTTATTTAATTATGCTGAGTTTCATATTGTATATTTGTCATTATTATTGATGCATAACAATGCAGTCTAATAAGCAAGCAGTATGCACCTATAAAGTTTTCGTGATTTTATTGTGAGGCAGTAAATAATTACATAAACAGAATCAATCAGGTATCAGCTGAAACAATAATGTGATACAGTTTGACAAACCACTACAGTCTCATAGACCAGACCTGAGTACTTAATGGTTAACAGTTTTTCATAATGAATAGTTTCAGATTTATAATAATTATTTTAAAATATTCTTTGCAGGTGACAATACAAGACAAGAATGGGACTGACAACTTTGGATTTATACCAGACACTAAAGAACATGCCAGTATTTCAAACAAATGTGAGGAAGTTCATTGACCTAACATACACAAATAATTTTAATTGGCATTAACCTTGTCATAAGGTAAGGGTCCTTCATATTAGTTTGAGTGTGCATAACAGCTGCTTAAACAAGGGAGTGCTATAGCAATAATTTTAGACAGAGAAAGTGATTAAATGTTCAATTAGAGCTCATGATTAACAATTTGGCAGCTCTAGTTTCCCATCTTAGAATTTCAGCTTCTTGCAGTATGAAATATTACATTTCTCCTTAAAAACATGTATAAGCTACAGTAATATTACATTTAGCCATTTTTATTTTAAAATGTCTTAATACATTTACATCATACTAATGAAAAGTGTCAAATAAGTAACTTCACCTATTCAGAGATTTCTTTCCACCAAATAAATCCAGAAAAGTTTATAACCACATTATCTCATGTATAGAATGCAAAGTGTAATGTGTTATACTATGTTATGCAATTCACGGCCTTAATATACAATTTTAAGAAACAAAAGGTAGGAAACTGCAGGTTTGGCATTAATGGAATTTTACATGAAAATCTGTACTGTGCATTGTATTGCTGCATCACATAGAGTTAAGTGCACGTTGCAGGACTGATGCTCATTTGCTTATGGAAATACATTCTTGGCACTTAATGCAGAAAAATAACACATGTTTTAGATTTTTTGTAAGCCAGCACATATTCCACCCTACAATGATGTCTCTGTATCCAGTATGCTTCTGTTTTACTGTAGATTACTTTGACACTTGTTTTCTGAAGAAGTCTGAAACCAGTAAATATTTTTTCACTTCAGTGTTTGAGCTTACACCTGTTGCAACATCCTTCATTATGATGATGTTATTAACTCAACCATTCTGTTTACACACTGAACATTTAAAAAATCCTTTGCTGCTTAGCTGGGAGGCTGGATCAACTTTTGAGCCTAAATAAATTAAAAAAAACTTATTTCAGACAGTAACACCAAGCACCTACAGTCACAGTACAATAAACATATTTTAAGATATGTCTTACCCACATATTTAACTTGTTGAAGCAGCATATGGGATTACTTAAGAGCTTTTGAATATTAGTCATATGATACATTTCAAAAGAACTTCCTTTTACAATGGTGTATGAGATCTTTCAAAACTTTTTGATTTTTTCTGTTATGCTTTATGTTATGTTTTATGCTGATTTCTGTAATTTTGTTTCACTATTATTTGTTTTTGTTTGTTTTATTTGTTTGATATTTCAATAAAGTTAATATTTTTTCCTCATATTTCTGTTTTCTTCTTGTTGTTGCTGTATAGCTGGAACAGGCTTTGACCCTAATCCATTGAGATAAGAAGATTTTTGTTTCATTTTTTGTTTTGCTATTGTTAATAAATGCTATTAACTGACCATTGTCACTGATGTTGTTCATACTGTTATATTGATTATGCATGATAAAATGTCCCAGATATAAACATCCATAGCCAATGACAGGGAAATCATAATCTTGAACTATATGAACACTCAATCATATTTAGAATATGGATGTTTGAAAAAGGGTGTCTTTTGGGTTGTTGCGCCATGCAGTCTGGTAGAAGTTTACCAGACTACACAGTGCAACAACCCAGAAGCACCCATCTTCAGCCTCACTGCTGTGAAAACTCAAATCCAAAATAGAATGGATGTTGGTTCATATTTTTCTGTGTTATCCTAATCGATTATGGTTAAATCTCCCACCCAGTAAGTCCAATCTTATGTTGAACAAGTTAAATGATCAGAAGATTGACTAAGAGAACTGAGTGAATATGTAAGCCACCTAACAATACATGTTTGCCCATTCTGCATGCAACACACAAGGAAACAAAGAAAGAAACATATAATGCAGATAGCTTAATCTAAAGCCTTCACATGATAGAATATCTTCAAAATAAACATTCCTAGATTTTACTGACAATTACGTAATATCATCATCAGTCAGATTAGATAACGTGTGGTGATACTGTGCTAGGTGTGTTGTTCATGATTTAATACTACACTTTGAAGCAGGTGAAGTATATAATGATTCACTAAAGAAAAACTGTAAGTATAATAGAATGTTTATATGTGTTAAGGTATTATTCCTTTGTTTTACAGTATTAAACTGGAAAATTGACACAGAAACACTTGAAGTGGCACAGATGAGGATTAAAATGGATGTCTTCTGGGTTGTAGCACCATATAACCTGGCTGTAGTTTACTGATGTTTCAGAGATGCCCTGATGGCACTACAACTCAGAATACAGCCATCTTTATACTTGCTGCCATGAGAACGTGAAATCATACTCAGTACAAAAAGGTCTGTATGAACTTTACTGGGTATTAGAAGAATGAAATTCTGGCATCAGAAACAGTTTTAATGTTTGAAATATTATATGTGATAGTGAGGACTACCAAAAGAAGTAACTAGAATCATACACAGAATGAAGACAAGTAGAATATAACAACATACACTGGAATATAAACCATTGGAACACATAGGTCCTGGACACCCAAAGAATAGAAGGAAATACCAAGTAAACATTCAGATTTTGATAATATGCAGTAAGCCAAATCCTGCATAATTCTTGATGATTACAGTAAAGTGTTGATATCACTTGGTTTCTGGACTTTCTCATTTACCTCATAGTCTGAACAGAAAATATTGTTTTGGAATTTTTTTTTCTTAGATGAGGAGTACTTAATCATAATCACTGGAAGACTTTAATCAACTAGAACAATATTTTCTGCTATAATAATATGCATTACACGGATTTTAAGATTGAAAACAGCTTAAAACAGAGCACAGCCCTTTAGCCACCATTTTCTGTCTGGCTAACAATCAAAAGCCTAAAATGTCATTCTTTGTTCGTTTCAAACTTCAATAAATTCATACGATGTTCATAAGTAAAAAGCAATATGGCCACAGAAAACGATATACACAAAACGAAGTTAATGTATTTGATATAACAGTAGGCCTACTTGTTTGTTTTTACAGTTCACAATATGGAAGCGACTATATATCCTACTTTTAGTTCAGAGGATGAAATAAGCCAAATTCCACAGGTGAGTTATATGAACATGTTCTATATGTCTGGGTAGTATCATAATATTGTAAAATAAAAACAATCATTCTCTAAAGGTTTGTGCTACAACCTGATTCAGTTTAGTTTCTTAGTTTGTTAAAAAAAATTGCATTATTAACTGTGAAAGTTAATGTACGAGGTGCGATCGGAAAGTTTCAAGACTGCGCCTATAAAAACCCGTACACTTATCTCAGGTATTAAATTCATCCATCACCCTCGAAGTAGTTCCCCTGGGAGTGAACACAACGATCCCAGCGCCGCTGCCAAGCCTGGAAGCATCCCGGGAAATCTTTCTTTGTCAGCCTGTCAAAGATCTTGCAAGAACCGACCCCAACTTCCTTTCTAAGCTCCGTGGGACTTCTTCCTCTTCCCAAAGATGAAAATTCAGCTAAAGGGAAGGAGATTTGAAACGATAGAAGAGATTCAGGCAGAATCGCAGATGGTGCTTGACAGGCTGACAAAGAAAGATTTCCAGGCTTGGCAGCGGCGCTGGGATCGTTGTGTTCACTCCCAGGGGAACTACTTCAAGGGTGATGGATGAATTTAATACCTGAGATAAGTGTACGGGTTTTTATACGCCCAGTCTTGAAACTTTCCGATGAGACAGGATTAAGAAGATTGTTTGTGAACGCACATAATTATGTTTTAGTCGTATGGAGTTAGTTTCGAATTGAAATATCCTTCTAATTGCCCTCATCAAAATGTGGCTGGCGATAAATAAAGTTTTTGTTTGTTCTTGAGGCGTTCAATTTATTTCCCACCTTCAAGCCCAATTTCTATATCGTCCTCATTGCACGGCCATGTATCCCAAATTATCTCTTTCCTCTGAATTTTTTGGATTAAAATTTTGTATTAATTTCTTGTTTCGGGAGGACTGTTATGAATGATGAATTCTGAAGGATGTTGCAGGAAGCAGTCATAGATTATTTTTGAAGTACTCTCCCAGCATTTTATTAGGTAGACTGAGGAAGACAATGAAGAATGGCTCAGTCTTGTGTATTTGACTGTTTAAAACTCTAGTGTATTTCAGAACTTTCTCAGTCCAGGCCTGGTTTACTACTTTCTTTGTATTGAACTTTATGCATTGACACCATTGGCAAAGACATTAGGAGAAAACCAGGGCCTGGCTTACTTAAAAAATAGCTCAGTCCAACACATATGCATAGAGCGTGGTTTGATATATGTTAAGATGGCTTCTCACATGTATCCCATTTTATGTATTGCTGCTTCCTTTGTTAAAAAAGCTGACCTTTCCTAAGTGCAAGAAATATAGGTTTATGCTGGCAGACTGTGCATGTCTCCATCTATCTAGGGATGTGTGTCCCCTTTCAGGTTGTACACTGAACGAACATAATTTTTACTGTGGTCTTCTGTGTATTCTTGAAGTTGGTTACCAAAGTTATGAATGTATCACGTCCAACATCAGCTCTGAATGACCTTCAAGGAACATGAATCCTGTGACATCTAAGTAGACCACCAATGACTGGATGAACAAGAAACACAGGAATACCTGAACAAAAGCATGCAAAGTACCCTCTGCTGCAAGAACAAGGGAACCAATGAGCTTGAATTTCAGGCAAATGAAACAAGGGATGGGGCTATTAATTGGTCACCGTCACTTGAATGGACATCTATTCAACTTTAGACTAGTAAATAGCCCCACCTGTGAAAGATGTGACAATGAAGAAGAAATGGCCTTGCATATCCTGTACAATATTGAGGCCCTGGCTGAATTAAAATTGCATCACCTGGAAACCCACTTTATGAAACCATATGACTACCACAAGGCTCTATGAAAAAAAGTATTGCATTTCCTTCAGTGACTACTAGAGGGTTCAATCCAGACTTACCACAGTCACCATGCAAGGATCATTAATACACCCATCCTTTTTTATAATAACCTCATGTAATGTTTGGGACTCTTCTGGATCTGGGACATGTGGAGAAGATGTGGCTGATGGTTGACATCTAGGAAAGATGAGATTACTAGTAAACCACTACCTGATCAAAGTATGCTGACAAATGAATGCCATCTTAATTTTTTATTCAAAGCCAGCAGTGCACTTGAGAACTTGCTTTTCTAATTTAATATTTTCTTATAGGGAATACAGAATGGGTCATCAGAAGAAAAAAATAATCTCAGTCAAGATAAATGTCATGCAGAAATAAGTGATAATCAGATGTCAACAAATGTACTTCTTAGAAGACATGCTCCAACAAAGCTTGATGTATCTAATGATGCAACCATACTGAGGGATGAGACAAGTTATGTGACTGACACTTCACAGGTAACAAATATTCTAAGGCAGCAACTGCATTTATCAAGCAATGTCCATAGACTACAAGAGTGATGTATATGGAAACCTACATATTGTTAATGTTGTGAAGGGGAATGACTATCTCTTATACAAGTGTGGTTACTAACAAGCCCATTGTTCAACCCCCAGATAATATATAAGTGAATATGGACCAGCAGTACAATGATAATAATTAGGCATGGCATGTCACACATCCCACCAATAGCCCTATAGTCCACCTGATAAGAAACATTCCCCCTGCACAGCATCAGAACCGACTTCCACCCCGCAGGGCTTTTCTCGTGGTCGGTGGGCAGTAATAACCTCTTAACTAGCTTTAGGCTTTGTAAACACTGCAACTTCAAAGGTTTTACCAAGGTTTTTCGTCAGTTTTTCAGCACAGCCTCTTGCATGGCTATCTCTGACAATTATTTTATGCCCTTCCTTCCAACAGGTTTTCTGTTTTCTTTGCCTTCCACATTTACCCCAGATCTTTTGATTGCTCTGTCGGTTCTTTGAGGTTATATAATACTGAAAAACGATTTCAACTTGCTGTGGTGCTTTATTTCTGGTTTTCCAGCCCCTTATACACACACTTTACTTACTTTTTTTGCCATATACTTGCACTTTGTTCTGTTGACACATTTCCTTTTTTGGTGTACTTTCTCCCGACTCGTACTTTCACACACAGTTTCACAATTTCCCTCCATTTGAAGCAATCTAATGATTTTTTGGGGCTGATATAAGTTCTTGACTGGTTTGAAATTCTACAAGTCTTATGTGGCAGAAGGTATGTGAACTTATATGTATTGGACCGGAATTTTTTCATTGCAATTCAACAGGTTCTGGATTTGTGGCAAAAGGAAACAAAAGTGTGTAATTTTTTCATATTTTTATTGATAGTTGTCCCCCCTTAGGGTGGAATCCGTATTGATCTGTCTGAAAGAGTACCTGTTCACTGTTCACCTTGACGATCTCTCATTGAAATATAGGTAATCCATGATGTGAGGTTTGTGGAGTTCAGTTTGGAGGTTAAGTTTGTTTTTCGTATTTTGTCATGCATTGCATTGGCCATGTTAGAGAATTGAACGACATTGTAGACAAGTTATGTTTAGCAAGCTGTGCAGTAAAAATAAAATACATTATTATTAAAGCTAAAAAGAATCTGTTTTCGGAACAAGGAACTGTGATTTCTCTCTGAACAAAGAAATGTGATTTCACTTCTATTATCATATTATAGAACTTAACCAAGAGTCCAATGTCAGGATTGGAACATTGATTTTGTATGCTTGCAGTGTTGGAAGTGAAAGCACATTAGACAATACATACTGTTCTTAACGCTATAGTATCAAAACTCTATTGAACAGTCTTTTATGAGAAGCTGATAGTCACTTAGCTGGTTAAGATCTTTCTCATCTCATAAGAATCCAATTATTATTACCATATTCACAACATTTCACAACTAGACCATAATGTGAGCCAGCTTACAGTTAGTTTTATAATTCTGTGACACATTAATTTACACTTTAGTTTCAGAGCTGATTGCAATTTACAAATTCACAGGAACCTGTGAATTCAGTAAGAAATTCTGGAAAGATGGACACTTCTGAAGAATGTGACAAAAAGACCAGATATGCAGAATTTTGGAGCAAATTGAGCAAATGTTTTTCACAGCATACAAATGCATTACGAACAGTCTTCATTGTCATTTTCAATGCATGTATATTAGGCTATCTAATAACTGCTGTAATGTTTTTTAAAGCACAAGGTAAGACATTTGAAGTACAATATCACGAACATATTATATTATACTCGATATTATATTGTATTTGCAACATGAATTCTCAGTTTTCAAATAGGTTTAGAATTGACAGCTAATAATATTTACAATACTAAATATTGTACCAAAAATTAATGTAGTGTATCTACAGTGAATGGTGGTAACATTATAAACCAAATTAAGCTTCTATTGCATCTTACAAGACTTTACAAGTAACTGGACTGTTTTTGAAGAATTAAATCTGTATACATTGTCATTAATATTTAGCGAATATGAATACCTTCAATGTATTTCCTTTTGACTGCATTACATGCATTGTTATATTTCTGCATTGCCTGTAAATAGCCATGGAAATCATGTCTGTAAGTGAATATTGCTGTCTTCTGGGTTGTTGCGCTGTGTAGTCAGGTCGATGTGAACCAACGTTTCAGAGGTCATACTGCCTCCGTCATCAGGGCGATGAATATGCCAATAGGGTGTGTGGGGCTAGGTTTATAGGGCCGGAAAGTGAAAGGTGTAGCCTGCCCCGAGTTGGAATCGAAACCCTAACGTTCAATCACTAGATTCCCACTGCTACCTTCTAGAAAACTCAACGTAACTGAGCTAGTGTACTCGCGCTTAACAGTCCCGACAGAGACATGGATGGATGAACACTTAGACCCAGTCCCTTGCTTCAAACGACGCATTCATTCTCTCTTGCAGCGTTCTGCAGGAAGATGAGACGTGAGTGCTGACTGGTCTACTCGCCAAGTTACTTTCTTGTGCTCTGTCTTTCTAGAGATTGATGCACTGATAGTATTGTAGAATGTAAAATTGTTGTGGTCAACTTAGATTTGGTCCATGTTAATAAATGTGCTGCCATAAACATTCATAAGCTTAAAGTAGAATGCTCAGTTGACTGTTTTGAGCAAATAAATTCATGAGGATTAATTTCTTTGATCTCAAAAAAGGAAATAAGCAGTATTTTGATGTTTGCAGTTTATGATCTGTAGGGCTCTGGACTTTACCATTGGAGTCTTGGTGTTTTGTTTATGGGTGATACTAGTCTCATAAGCAATCACTACTTTTTTCAAAAGATTATGTTTTTCCCAAAATCTTAAATGGTGAAATATGGTCATGTATTCTGGGAGAAAATGTGAACTGAAAGTATCTGATAACAAAATGTTAAGGAAAATAATTGACTTAAGTAAGATGGTGGGCTGAATGTGTTACTGATATGGATAAAACATATGAAGTACATACAAACTTTTGATATGGAAACATTTTGAAAGCAGCTAATTGTGCCTTACAAAGCAGTCTGTGGCCTCATACCATAGGGACGAATAAACATGAACTGAACAATAGAGAATACAAAAAAAATTAATCAGTGGTGAAGTTTCTTATTTGTATCTTGTTCTAATATTATTAGGATAATTTAATCAAGAATCTTACGATGAACTGAACATGCAGCTAGGACATGAGGACATTATGCCATTGTCTTTTTAAGGTCTAATAGCCATTATAATTTATCATAATAATAGTGTAACTTTAATTTCAATAAAGTACAGTGGCCAAGAACAACCACTTCAAGCCTTGGACTTCACAGTGTGCTCTTCCCAAAACAACAAGGTCAAACCTGAGTCTATAAAAGGCGGGGACCTCGAAGCAATGGGAACAGTCATTGGAGGCTCAGGGACATACACACAGAATTACAGGATGGACTCCCTCTTGGACTGCACTTGACACCAAAATTCTTGCTAGAAACCTTTGACCCAGGAAGTGAAATGTGTAGCTTCACTCGTGACTGCTGTACAAGATCTCCATAATGTTTAGGCAATCTTATACCTGCTGGTGCATTGGTCCCATCTTACTGAACGAGCTCAGCACTGTGCTACACATCATCTATGCCATCACCAAAGGCTGGTCCATTACATTACTCTATGACCAACAAGGCACCAACGAGTTTGTTGGTGTTGCTCCCAACTTCTGGAGTGGCAGCCAGCCACCCCATCCCAGGATGGCCCTGTCAGTTTCCCAGCTTTTAGGATGCTAGACAACCTGCTGGGCCCAAGGCAAGAAGTAAAAGAGGTCAAGTCATGCTATTTCATACATCCAGCACACCTGACATGCATCAAGCACAACTGCAGCAACATGGTCAGTAAAACCAGTTGACTTTGGCACAGACTACAGGGAAGAAATGATCAACGTATGAAATTATCTATTTAAGGACTAATATACCTTATCACTTATTGTAATTTACATTTTCAATAAAGTACAGTGACCAGGAATAACAATTTCAGTCCTCAGACCTCATGGCCAGCTGTTCCCACAACAAGGTCCAACCTCAGCCTATGAAAGATGAGGGACTCAGAATAATGGGAGCAGTTATCAGAGGCTGGGGTACAGACTGAGAGAGACAATTATTCATGCGTCATATTGTGATATTAATTAAAATAATTATTTTATTTGTTTACCGTCAAATCACAATAAAATAGTAAGTTAAGATAATTAAAATGATTAAAATATCATCCTATGTTCCGTATCGAGCATTCGATTTACATCGGAACATTCACAACATGTTTCGGTTTATCAAACCGTCATCAGGTGTAAATTATAAACTTTTAAACTCAAATTACAATTATTTATAGTTTTTACAATTTTATAATTTTATCATCTTTCTCAGTATATTTTATG